TGTCTTCCAGTGCATATCACCGGGGTTACTCGTATATCTACTGAGTTTACGAACCGCAAAGGCATTATCCGGCCTAGTACAACTCATAAGATACATAAAACTACCAATAACCCGAGCATATTCTACTTGAGAAATACACTCTCCATGATTTCTGGTTAAATGAACGTTTTTATCAAATGGTGTCCTAGCCAATTGATTATCATTCTTTTTAAAATTTTCAAGGATTTTATCAATATAATGTGATTGGCTCAATACAAGATCATCAGGTCTTCTCACGATTTTAATCCCGAGAATTAAATCAGCCAAACCCATATCCTTCATGTCTAATCTCGCATTTAACATGTTTTTGGTAAACTTGATAATCCGATCGTTACTACCAATGATGAGCATATCATCTACGTATAAACAAAGAATGACATAGTTGTCTATCGTTTCCTTAATGTAGACACATTTGTCTCTTTTGTTTATTTTAAACCCATTGGTTAACATCGCGTTGTCAAACTTCTCGTGTCACTGCTTAGACGCTTGTTTTAAACCATAGAGCGATTTAACCCACTTACACACTTTTCTTTCTTGGCCCAGAACCACGAACCCTTCGGGTTGTTCCATATAGATTTCCTCATCTAACTCGCCATTTAGGAAAACGGTTTTCACATCCATTTGATGAACTTCTAAATTCCGCAACGTGGTTGTGGCAAGTATCATCCTAATGGAGTTTATTCTCGTCATGAGAGAATATGTGTCGAAGTAATTAAGGCTCTCATGTTGCCTGTAACCCTTAATTACAAGCCTTGCCTTATACTTCTCGATGGAACCATCTGATTTCATCTTCCTTTTAACAACCCACTTGGATCCTAAGAGTTTACTACCCGGAGGAAGTTCAACAAGCTCCCAAGTGTGATTCTGTATAATAGAATCCACTTCACTCTTTATAGCCTCTTTCCACATTAGTCTTTTCGTAGAAGTGACGGCTTCTACATACGTTCGAGGTTCATTCTCTATCAAACAAGATAGAAAATCGGGTTCATTTTCTAATAAACAAGTTAGAGTACCCGAATCATACTCTAACAAGGAAGTTAGAAAATAAGGACCAAATGATTTTTCAACTCTTGCTCGCTTACTGCGTCTCGGCTCAAGCTCGGGTTCTTTCTCAGATTCCCCACTATCATTATCAATAGCTTTGTCAAATGTCTATTTTGACGTACTCGGTCCCTCGTGGGACCTACAAGGAAATACATTTTCAAAGAAACCTGCATTCCTTGATTCTATTATCGTGTTCTCATGTACGTCTGGATTATGGGACTCATGTACTAAGAACCGATAAACACTACTATTATGTGCATAGCCAATAAAGATACAGTCCACCGTCTTAGGACTTATCTTTACTTTCTTAGGTGTTGGCACCAAAACTTTGGCACGATACCCCCACACTTTCAGGTACTGGTAGGAATGTTTCCTACAGTTCCACAGCTCATAAGGAGTCTTATCTAGCTTCTTGCAGGGCACCTTATTTAAAAGGTAATTATTTGTCAAAATCGCCTCACCCCATATACCTTGAGGTAGGCCCGAACTTATAAGCATCGCATTCATCATATCTTTCAATATACGATTCTTTCGTTCGGCAACACCATTCAATTGAGGTGCGTAAGGTGCAGTACGCTCGTGTATGATACCTACACTTACACAGAAGTCAGCAATCGATGTTTCGTACTCACCACCTCTATCACTTCTAACCTTCTTATTTCTCCGATTAAGTTGGTTTTCCACTTCATTCATATAAAGAACGAATTTATATCTCTGTGTGTGTGTGTGTGTGTTAATATAATATTAAAAAAAGTTATTAAACCGTGACTGTGATGAAGCCATGGGGAAAAGGAGTCAAAAAAACACTTATTAAAAACGTGACTGTGATGAAGCCATGGGGGAAAGGAGTCAAAAAAACTATAAAACTGCGTTAATGTCAAAGAATTCGAACCCTTGACCTTTACTATTGCCAAATATGTGCTCTGCCAACGTAACTAATCTAACTTATTTCTTGTTGACATTTAATAGTTTTTTTATATTAATACTAAAACTTATACTATATATACATATATACATACAAAGATTATATATGGGGTGGGGGTGGGGTGAGGGGGGCAGCTGCCCCCCTCCCCCCCCTTTGGCTCTGCCTCTGCACATTAGCTATTAATTCAATAATTATTTGGTCGAATTCAAGCAAGGATAACATCACAAAACATAATTGATCCAAACTATATTTTCAATTGCACTATATAATATTTGATGGTATAATTATATAATTATATATCGATCTAAATATTCTTAACATATTATAGTAAATCCATTATGTGCATTACACAGGTGAAAATACTACTTAAATTTTAAAGTGCTTTAAGATTCTTAATATCTAAAGATAATGCTACTGTAGTTTGACCAAGTAACCCAGCAACGAAGTGGGAGGTAGACCTAAAGATTTTGTTGAAAGTTCAAATGTTGACAACAAAGTTAGATTAGACCACAATTCCGCAAATATAGGAATGTTTTGGAATCTCTCTGGTCCTCCATCAGTCCACAGCAATCATCACTTCCCAATCAACTCCAATAATCAAGGCATTTCTGCTAGAATCATGCATGATCACAGGTTTTAATGGAGATTAAGATGTCAATCCCCAAAGCTTTACGTTTACCTAATTCATTCTCTTTTAATCACTCCTACACCAGTAATCATACATATATATATATATATATATATATATATATATATATATATATATATATATATATATATATATATATATATATATATATAAAATAGAAGACACGCAAAAAGGTCCAAAACGATATCATTGTGCGCCCTGGTGCACAGTATAATTTGCCCCAAAACACGATACAGATCCATCCTTCTAGAGGTCAAGAACATAAAGACCCCTAGACGCAAGCCCTTCACCAATAACACTCTTCGTCACAAGATCATGATGCAACCGCAGCAATCGTAGTGACGGGAGCGGACGAATGTTTTAGAGACTCTTGGTATTGAGAAAACTTAGCAAACTCATCAGCAGAGATGGAGACCATCTTCGCAGAGAGATCAAGTGCAGATGCAACATGTGTAGAATTGTCCCCTCGAATTTTATTCAACAACTTCCTACAATCCTTCTTCATGTGCCCAGACTTATGGCAATAATGACACACAACACCGCTTAAAGAGTGCCTAGAGTTGTGCCTGGTTCCATTGTGCGCGTGTTGACCAACGAGAGCACTGTTCAGTGGGACCATCATCTCATGCATACTTGATTGTGATTGCACTGATCGAAGCAGTCGTGGAAGGATATCAGCCAAAGTAGGGACCTCAGAGCCACTAAGTAGGGACCTGCCAAAAAACTCATAATAGCCATTTGTGGACCTGCCAAAAAACTCATAATAGCCATTTGTTCACGTTGCTTGATATCATCACTGAATGGCATAAGCTGATTAAGGGGCTCATATATTCTCTTAAAGTCCATAAAATAAGCTGTAAGAGACAAATTCTATTTTTCAACCCGATAAAAAGCCTTACAGACATCATAAATACATACCAGCAATATTCCCCTTCCCAGAGTACAAGTACTCCAAATACTCCATCAACTCCTTAAGGGAAGCACAATGACTAATGAACTACTATAATAAATAGAATTTCGGATTTGCATAAACAAACGTGCATCATCCCGCACCCAAGACTCATCTTGGTCAGACAAAGGTTTAGTTAGGTGTTCCCCTTTACCCAAACTAGTGAGATAAAGCTTAATGACTTGAGTCCACTCCAAGTAATTAAAATCATTAAGCTTACGGCCTGTGATTTTAGAAGTCACAGGAACAACCTTAGTTACTACAACCGACTTAAAGGGGTTCGAAACAACCTGACCGACGAACAAAAATCACGGAAGCCAAATGGTCCAAACTAAGTCCAAATCTGAAACAACGGGACTCAGGCGACCCTGGTGGTGTTGACTGGGAAATTTTCCGGTAGCCAGAAGCAGCTCACGAGGGGGCGACGGTGGCGGTGGCACGTGAGGCCCACTCGCTGGGCAGAACGACGTCGGATTTCGCAACTGAGGTAGCTGAATGCCGACGAGCCAACCTCGATGGGCGGAAGCGGGAAAAAAAATACCTTTACCGTAAAGGCTCAGATACCATGTTACAAAAGTAAAGAGAAGATTTCTAAATGTTATCTTAAGTTGTTTCATACTGTCTTATTGAAAAGAGAATACAAAGCCTATAAATAGGAGCTAGAAGATTACAAACAGAAAACAAGTTTCCATATGTCCTACCTACCTAAAACCTTAAACTGCCTAATATATAGCGATTCTATATATCAAATATATATTCCATAACAATAATTTTTGTTGCACTTTAAATGACACTGGTTGCTTCACTGTTTCTTCAGTATATGAGGTGGTGATGTTGCGTGCAGATGAGAACTGTTACCCTGAATGGGGAAAAATCTGGAAACTTAAAGTGACTAACCACATAAGGGCTTTTCTTTTATTGGTTAAATATGGCAGGATCTTGTGTAATGTGTAGTGCTGAAATGTGACTTCACGAGGTTATATTGCCCGGGTGTCCTGGAGGATATTGAACATCTTCTCAAGAAACGCCCCAAGGTTGAAGAACTTAGCAAGTCGAATGAGAGGTGATGTGGCTGGTCATTGGAGTGTTCTGTTTGGTGTCCGTGTTTCTGACTAATATATATTGGAGAATGCAGTGCTGCTGAGGCGGGAATTCAAAAGGCGGTGGAGTCTAATTTTGAGATGGTTGGTTGAAGCTTGGAAGTGTGAACCCAAGAAGCTATGGAGACTGATGTCAGAGCATGTCTGCAGAAAACAAAATATACTGATAGGAGTGTTAAAATCCTGGAAGCTCCTATTGGCATGGGGGTGAAAAAAGGTTTTAACTTTGCATAGGTGAAAGAAGACAAGTCAATTTTTGAAGTTAAAAGACTCAAAGATGACAAAAGGCACACAGAACAAAAGTGGAATAAAACCTTCATGAAATTAAACATTTGCATGATATTTGGCTGACAGTTTTAAGTAATCAACTTCGTTAAAATGCAGTATATCAAGCTCTTACTGTTTCGAAGCAAGTCGTATGGCATTTTGAATAGTTTCATTGCCCAAACCAGTCAGCCATTTCTTCATCATCAGTAAGCTGGAAATGCTTGCTGCTGTCAACGAAGCAGGATTTGAATTCATGGGCTTTCTCTTTTGCCTTTGCACCTTTTGTGCTCTTCTCTGTCATCTCCCTTTTCCATTTCTCCCGCTTTTGTTCATTCCGAGAAAGATCACTTTTACCTCCTAAAATGGGGAAATCTACATATCCAATCTCATGATTACATAACACTGAGTCATCAGGATATTCACCGTCATCCTTAACAAATTTTGGCTTGTTAAATTCATCTCCCAGTTGTTTCTCTGTGCCAAGATAAGGCTGACTAAAATGATTGTTTGTGTTAGAACTTGCAGACAAACAGGTAGAACTTGCACAATTTGATGCTCTAGGTCTTCTGTGATCACATTTTAAGCAGACCACATTTCTCTTGAAATTGATGTAATTGCACCTAACAGATACCATTGTGTTATAAATGACGATTTTATAAAGATAGAACGGAAAATTGATTCACTAAATTAAGAAGGAAAATATCTCAGTTACAACTTACGATTCACATTCCCATTCTCCAGGATGAAGTAGCCGCTTTGGAGGATTCTCTTTACACTGTAAGCACCTTGTATTCTTTGCAAAGTTCAAGAAATTACATCTGAAACAAGTTGATGGTCATATGACAGAAAGTTGATTGCTAGAAACAACTAACACGAGTTATATATTGCATCTAGAAGCAAATTACACAGCAATTGTCTTACTTGTCACATATCCAATCTCCCTTTTTCAATGGAAGATTATCCTGCTCAGCTCTTAGATTGTGTAGCCTTTCTTGGGATAGGTCATTACAGCTTAAGCACTTGATATTTCTTGCAAAATTTAGGAAATTGCATCTAGAGAGGCGAGAGAGGAGATGGGGGTGAAAGACAAAAAGAAAAAAGGATTTGAAAATTAGTTAGCAATACAAGGAAGCAGTTCACATTGACAAATGTAATAAAGATTTCATCAGAAGCTACTTAGTGCATAACCAATCGCCTTGCTTCATTGGAACCTTCATTTGGCCATCTCTGACGTTTCCTGCAATTTGTTGTGTAGATGACCTTCCAGGGATTAACGCTTTGTTGGTCTCATATCCACCTTCCTCTTTACTGAATTCCACAATTTCTTTTAGTAACTTTCTTACTGATTCCTTGACTCTTTCATTCAGGCAGGGCTTGTTCTCCACTGACCCAGATATTGGATCAAGCCCATATATAAATAATAAACGCATAACATCCACAGTCCGTCTACCTTCATCCTCCCGCACCTTGAGATATGCCCTCTCACAGTTTCCCCGCAATATGCAGGAGCTGCAAACCTAATGAAACTATTTTGTTAAGTGAAAAGGTGGCTGATGTAAAACTTGATATAGTGCTGAAAAGTCATGGAGAAGAAATATTAGTTATGTAGGCAAAATTGCAAAAATCACAACTGAATTTCAACATATACATTTCCTTCATCAATGCCCAGATGCGCTCTTAGGCGCTTCCCAGAGTTGACAACTTTCCTATCCACGCTGGGGCATCCAGCTTGTGCAATCACTTCAATATCTTTTTGGGACAGGTATCTGATACAAACAGAAAAATACTAAATCAGTAATTTGACAATCTTATTTATAGAACAACATGGAGGTCTGCACACATTGCTAAAATTGGAAAGAAAAATAGAATTATGAGGGTTATAAAGTTAGTAAGCTTCTTCTATTGTACATAGTGAACAGCCTGTAATTGATAAAATGCAATGATGGAAGTATTCATGTTAAATAGTTCTATCAGAATGGTTAGACAAGGTTTCATTAAGCACAGGGGAGCTAAAGGTGTTTGTGCACATTTTTAAGCACCCAGAGCTTGCCTTAAAAAAAAATAATAATAATAAATAAAAAGAAGTTTGTATTGATAAGCACAAAATGAGTAAATGCTTATCTGATAAGTAAACCTTTTTTTTTTTTAAGTGCAAAATGGCAACAACTTTATGAATCTGAAATGTACTTTTTGCCAAGGAAATGAAATCCCATTAAAACCCCAATCCCAATTTATGTGTATCAAAAGCCTATACATGAGATGATCTAAGCATCTAAATAAACCTGAACTAGGACTTTTTTACTCGGGAAACAATGTTGTCATCAAGGGAAAGTCAAGCATGTCGGTCAGCTGAGCTTTTAGCTTGCTCAACATTCCACTGAACTTCCATCGCCTCAGCAACTTTGGCCTTAAAAGCATCTGGTAATGCAAAAAGATGAAAACATCTGTCTTGTCCATCTCAAGAAGCAAGCAAGACTATTGCTGCAGGATCATGCTCTAGCTGATCAACAAGTGGGCACAAATTCTCACCCAACATCATCCTCTAATGTTTGGTTGGAGCATTTGCAAGGGCACTTGGTAGTACTGTAATTAGAACAGGGTGTCCCATTACAGCACCTCGAGGAAGCATGCCACCCATATCATATGGAACAGAAACAATGCCTCCACCAACACCTGGCATATGCCCAAATGCCTCCACCAGCTATCCAATTTTTTGACATAAAAATTCAATCCTAGGCATTTATCCACTGCTTCCATTGCACTCTACTCAACATTTAGTTCTTGTTCCCTTTCTGATTCCTTTTTTTAGGCTTTACCAACATATCATTCTTTATCAATGAATTTGATACATTATTACATTAGCTGGGAAGACATATCAAAGGTGTGGAAAAAAAGCTGAGGTGGACATCTCTAGCTAAGCTCAGAAGAATTCAAGTGCTTGTTGCTCAAATAATTGCTATAATTTAGTTCCCCTTGTCATCTAATTTTGAAGTTGCGAGCTACAACTATGATGGGCAACCGAGTGATAGGCGACTACAAAGGTGTGAACTCCAACAAAGGCAGCGGCAATGCAAAGGGGAAAAATGGCCGACTTGTCCAACTAGTTGGTCAACTCGGCTGACTAGTTGGACGGCCACCTAAATGGGCACCTAGATCAGAATACGCATCAGCCTAGGGAAGCCTAGCACCTATGCAGCTTACCTAGGCCGATTTTGCAACAGTTGGGTGATGGCTATTCGCCACAGGCCATACCTTTCAATCCCTCAAATTCAACATGACTCAAGACAAAATATACTACTAATATAGCATGTTACTCCTCCGATGTTTTATCAGCTGAACCTCAGGTCACTGCTCTCAGTGTAGCTGTTCATGTTATCACCAGAGTAAAAGTCCAAAAGGAGGGGCTTGACTTTGCATTACTAAGAATTTGTTTAATTGAGATGGAAGATAAATTGTTTGTTTTGTGAAACAAACTGAGGGTGTGTTTGGTTCGTACATAGGAATCGGAATCGGAATGGGAATCAAATACTTGGTAATGGTAATGGGTTTTGGTGAAAGTATTTAACATGTTTGGTAGTAGGGTGGAATGGGAATGGTTACTAATAGTAGTGGTTAAGAATGAATAATGGAATGAAACCCTTATTGTATTTGGGTATGGATTTTTCAATTGATGGGGTATTTGAAACCCATAGTAGTGTTCTAAAAACCTATTAACCAAACAACAACAATCACTTTCATACCCATTCCTATGGGCAAAACCCACCAACCAAACACACCTTGAGCTATGATATTACAAGTCTATCATGGCAGAACAAGAGTAATAAATCACGTGGTCATATTATCAAACAGATTGAGTGCTTAGCCACATATCAAAAAATAGTTTTTAACCGGAAGGGAAGTCCCATTCCAATAGCTCAATAACGTTATGCAGCCATAAACTAAAAGGAAAAGAAACTTAGATTCGTACAAACTAGAAAAAGAACAAAACAAATCCCAACATACTGAACGGAAAAAATAATCAGAAAAGTACCATCACCTTACAAGATCAAACTGATCACGGGCGAAATTCAAACAGGCAGTGCGTATTTCGTTCGAGTCTTTGTTGCCCAATTCGATGTCTCGGAGACATGGGTTACCAACGCTGACGAAATATCCATTCTTGAGTAGCGTTTCCATCAAGTCAACCCACTCCGGGCACGGGTGAGATATAACTCCGGAATCAGATTCTGTCGGTCGCGATATCTCTCCATTCCCAGAAGAAAGTCGTTGAATTGGCTCCGGGGAGGACTGGAGGTCATCCTGGGCTTCTTCAAGAATGAATTGGATTGCGGGATTGGAGGGCGGGATTGTGCTATGGAAATGGGAAGTGAGAATTTCGAGTTTGGGGATTTTTAGTGCTTGAAGAAGGGTTGAATTTCTAATTGTTGATGAGAAGAGCTTTAACATCTGGTTGAGCTCTTGAGCCAGCCAGTGGAGGTTATGCTTGGGTTTTAATGGTTTTAGGTTTTTAGCGAAAGTTCAAGTGACTGAACGGCGACCCATTCAAAAAAGGGGGAAAAAAACAAAAAAACACTGTTCACCAATAAGGGTGGATTTTCCGGATTTGGTTCGGTTTTTTGGGCAAATTATATTATGGTGTCTTTTTTTTTTTTTTTTTTAAATGAAAATAAACCGTGTTAGTTTCCGCCGTTTCGCACCCTTTTGCAAAAAGTAACTTTGTTATTCAGTGTCATTTTGTATACACTGCCGTTTCAGTTCAACACAACTACAGTATCATTTTGATATAACTATAGTTTCATTCGATATTTATAGACTCAAATATGTGAAAATGTTATTTAATTTTATTTTATATACACTATAGTTTCATTAAAACACAACTACATGATCATTTTGATATAATTACAGCTTCATTGTACAATATACACTCAAATATGTGAAATGTTATTCAGTTTCATTTTATATACACTGCAGTTTCATTTCACTATAACTACAGTATCATTTTGATATAACTGCAGTATCGGTTTAGATATACCATAGTGTCAGTTGGTGTTTAATACACCAAACAAGCGGACTCCGTTAACTCTAACGGTGGGCCGTTTCTTTACTTAAAGGATCGGCGCCGTTTTTTACCGCGGTGCACATGCACCGCGGTCTATAATATAACGACTGGGTTTTTTGGGTTTAAAAAAAAAATGATATCATTCGACTTAACAATATAGTTCAGTTTGGTTTCGGTTTAGAATTAGTTTGGTTCGGAATTGGTTTGATTCGGTTTAAGAACCCTAATTATGAAATTTTAATATTTCCTAATTTTATAAACAAACCACCAAACAATACATATTCACATAGTCTAAATCCAAAGTCTAAATATTATATAACAAAATAGCAATTCAAAGTTCAAATACACTACTAAAGTATTAAGTACTAATTATCAAACATTATTTTGTTTTTTTTTTTTTGCACAATCGACTCTTCAGTTGGCTCACTTGGAATCTTTTATCGACAAGATGAATAATAATCTATTTGTATAGTTAATATTTTGAGAACAAGTGTCAAGTATTGTATAGTTAATTTTTAGACACAATCCACCATTGCTAGTGCACTAGAATATTATTTCCAGTGCACTGGAAATATATTCCAGTACTATAAAATAATTCCAGTGCACTGGAAATCAAAATTAGAATGATGTTAAAGTATATTAATTTCATATAAACATGGTACTAAGGAAAATACAAAATATTGTAAGAATAACTCAAGTTAGATATAATTGTAAGGTAAAGAACAATTGCGACAAACCACCAAAGTGAAAAGTAGATAACAAGTTATAAATAATTCAAATAAAAAAATAAATTAATTTCCAAAATGGTCCTCCGACTATAGTATTTTATTAAATTGGTTTCTTGACTTCTAATTGCAACCAAAGCGGTTCTCCGACTATTAAATTTTAAGTCAAAATGGTCTAACTTTGGCGTGAAGTAGGTGTTAAAATGAATGGTAAAACGGGCAATTCGGGTTTTCCACTCCAATTTAATGAATCTCTGATTGCCTTTTAGCAACCTACGCACGTTTTCCTTCAAATTAGGTTTTTGTTCTCCTTAATCTGCGATCAAAATTAATAATAACATTGCAAACTGTAAAATTAATAAAAAAAATAAAATAAAATAAGATAAAATTGTTGAGTAACATTGCTTCCTCCACAAACCCAGAATCTCCAACCGAGATTTTCATTATTTCATGATGTTTGGATGCTCCATTGCGTGCCAACTGACAAAATGAACAAGAACATATCTATAGTGAACTCTTTGCCTTGGGAGGTTTGTAGATGAAATTGAAGATTGAACTTTTTTGTCCTTTTAGCTAATTATCTCACAGTTTGATCGCAGATTGAGGAGAGCAAAAACCCGATTTAAAGAAAAAAACGTGTGCAGACTGCTGGAAGGGAGTCACAAATTCATTAAATTGGAGAGAAAAACATGAATTACCCGTTCTCCCGTTCATTTTAACACACACTTCACGCCAAAGCTAACAGATGACCATTTTTGCTTAAAATTCAATAATCGAAGGCCACTTTGGATGCAATTAAAAGTCAAGGAACCAATTTAAGAAAAGGTCATAGTCGGATGACTATTTTGAGAATTAACTCATAAAAATTTTAAGAAAGATATCAGTGAGAATAGGAACTGAAAGGCAGAGCAGGCATCAAAGGACTTTGATTTACTTCTTTTTTTGAAAACAACTTGGATTTACTTCTTTATTATTATTGTTGTTGTTGTTGTTGTTATTATTATTATTATTATTAAAATCAAATGGTATTCAGTTCGGTTCGATTTTTTACCAAATCATTCGGGTCGGTTCTGTCTCAATTTACAAGAATACATTACTGTTCGGTTTTTCGATATATTACAAGTTCGGTTCGGTACGGTTAGATTCGGAAAAACCGAACCGAATTGCCCGCCCGTAATTAAAAACATGAAAAATACTTCATGGACTCCCAAAAACATACTCCAACTTTTACTCCCACTTGTGTTCAAATTTGATTGGAGGAAGAAAAAAATAGATAAATATCATGATCCCCTATTAAATTGAGCAATCAAAGCATGCCAAATCATAGGAGTAGAAAATGAGAGTACATGTATAACTACTCTATAAACATACCACATCAGTTCATATTAGAGGATTTTTTTTCTCCAATGTGGTTATAATTGCGTAAACTTGCATAAAGTCAAAGATAATGACTAATTGTGGGTGCATTTGTGTATTTTAGGGAATTGGAGCTGTATTTAGGGCATTTTTGTAATTTCTAGAGCTAAAATTGGAGAAAATTGAAATTGCATTCAGTACGAGCTTAGTATGCTTGTACTCTAGTCATACAAGCACACGTAGAAGGTTGTACGTTGGAGGTACGCCCGTACTCGACGCATACGCGACCGTCCAAAAGGAAATACGAATGCGCATACGCATGTACGACGCTCGTACCGACGCTGGAGAATTATGTATAAATTGTTGTTTAAAGGAGTTGAGAAAGCCTTTTTGCTACTTTGTATCACTTTAGTCACTTTCACTTCTTGTACTTCAACCTTGTAGAGAGAGAAAGTTTCTAGGGTTCTATATTAAATTGACACCTTGCTCTAGGATTTTTGAGAATTCCTTCCACCATTGTTGAAGCTTGATTGTTTGCATTACAAATCTCAATTGAGCTAAGAATCATATGTCGCTAATTGATTAGGGAATTGGATTAAATTTACTTGCGGTAGTGCATGTATGATATGAATTGTAATTAGGAAGTAATTATTCATTAATTGCTATGGGTTCTTATTGTAGGTGGATTCTTGTATAGACTCTTGTTTGGTAGGGCCCAACCTTACAAGAGGTCTAGAAGGCGTGTAGTTGCTAAGCGATTGTGACTACACTATATCCTACTTCACTTGCAATTCCTACCTTACGTCGAGAGGTGGAGCTCGGAAAGAGATATGGACACAACGTGCAGTGTCTGATAAAATGACTCAAGTAGTAGGGTGATTACACGGGTAAGGTTCTACTACTTCATAGGCCAAGGAGTCCGATATTCGACATTGGCAATGGATAACATCTTCCAAGAATAACAATTAATGCATAACATACTGATATAGAACAACAAATCAAAAGGTAATTGCCAGGGAAATAAAACACACTGTAACTCAATCTCAAAAGTTCAAAATAGTATTTCGGTCCTTTCTCATCAGACAAAGCATGTTTAAATAGGATACAAAGGAAAATAAGAGAAGCTACTGGAATTAAAAGCTGGTAAATGAAGAGACAGAAAATTAAAACAAAATACATGAACCAAGAGTAATTAAAGATAGTCCAAGTTTCCAAGTCTTCCAGCCGCCAACCATTGAGTTTCCTGCATGCATGCTTATGATTATTTGAATTCCTTATTTATGTTCTCCATCATTCTCCCCAGGTTGCAGAAGACTCGCCCTCGAGTCATCAGGATATAACGGAACATCCACCGAGTGGTATTTGAAAATGTCAGCAACATTGAATGTTTTTGAAATTTTCCACTCATCCGGTAAATCAATGATGTAAGCATTATCATTGATTTTCTTAATAATCTTAAAAGGGCCATATTTCTTAGGACTTAACTTGTGGAATGTTTCAGCGGGTACCCGTTCCTTTCGAATGAAGACCATAACCTCATCTCCTACTCCAAATATTTGGCGGCGGCGGCATTTGTCAGCTTGAGCTTTATTTTTGGCATTGGTGGAGTTTAGTCTGGCTTTTACTTCTTCTTGAATCTCCGTAACCTGCTTTACAAAATTTTTAGCCTTTGAACTCCCATAGTCTAACTTTAAACTCTCATTCTCATTTTGTGGAAGCCGAAGTAAATCAACTGCATGCATGGTTTGCTTTCGATAGACAACAGAGAAAGGTGAACGTCCAATGGCAGAATGTACACTGCTATTATAGGCAAACTCTGCTTGAGCCAAAGCGAAATCCCATTGCTTAATATGTTCCCCACAAATACACCGTATGAGGTTTCCCAGGGAGCGATTCGTTACCTTAGTTTGACCGTCTGTTTGCGGGTGTGCCGAGCTGCTGAAATTAAGACTAGCATCAAATCTTTTCCACAAGGTTGTCCAAAAATGTGATAGAAACTTTGAATCTCGATCAGAAGTAATGGATTTTGGCACTCCATGGAGGCGAACAATTTCCTAAAAGAATAATCGAGCAATGTGAATGGTATCAGAAGTCTTTTTGCAGGGGATAAAGTGTGCCATTTTTGAGAATCTATCCACTACCACAAAGACAGAGTCTACACCACGTTGTGTTCTTGGAAGCCTGAGCACAAAGTCCATAGATAAATCTTCCCATATATCTACCGGAACTGGTAGAGGCATGTACAATCCTGTATTTTGGGAATGTCCTTTTGCTCTTTGACAAACAATGCAACGTTTCACAAATAGTCCTACGTCTCTCTTTAACTGAGGCCAGTAAAATCTCTCTTCAAGACTGGCAATTGTCTTATCTCGACC